TATAGAGATGTATAGTTCAGCTCAATTTTCAGAGCGGATCGGAGTTGCTCAGCTCACCAAAAAGAACCGATTCTTTAGAACAGCTCATCAGCTCAGTTTGATTTTACTATTATTTTCAAATACTTTTTTTTTTAAAGTGAGAATTATACAAATTTATAGTTTAAGGCTGGTTTATTAAGTTCATATGTAGTTTCTCTTGTATCGGATCTTCCGGAGGACGGTCTTATGGCCATACAGGTCCATGTTTATGTCATGACCCCAAATTCTTCCTTATATCACAGTTCCTAATGCTTTCGAAAAAAAAAAAACCGTGGAGCTCTAGAATCAATTGCATAGATTGAACGCTTTTACGGATGTTCTGGAACTTTCGGAGGACGGTGACTGTATTCTGGCTTATTATGAAAATAATCTGCAGAACCTAGGAATTCTAGAGGTACAAAAATGTTTGAAATTCATCAAGAAATGGCTAAGTTATGTCATTGCAAACTTGCTGTTACACGTTTTTCGGAGGCTTCTTAGTCGGGGTAAAGTATTTTACCCACCGTATTCGGAGTGTTAAAAGGCTTTCAGACTTCCGTCCAGACAGTCTTTTAATCCGGACATTTAATTTTCAATTAAACATGAAATCCACTTGGCAACATAATAATTACGTTAGATGGATTTGGACGACATTATAGTATCATCACAAACTTTACGTGGCATTTCGTTCCTAATTTCGGTGCATTACGGTACGACTTATTGCTTAATTCAGAAACGATGCGAAAGCCGATTTAGTTCCAAATCCATGGACCATTTTCAAAATTCTCCCTTTACTCGATAATCGCTGTCATTGATTTTGTTGCAACACGCGTTGGCAGTGTTTTTGTCGATTCATGCCCACTAACTTGGACACATCGGCTTTTTGGCCATAGAACGCGCAAACATTTGCGGTTTCGCCGTACGATGGATTGCGTGGCACCTTACTTCTACAAGGATCCATCGCTATCGGCCAGCATTTGTTGATTGTATAATGGATGTTGCGTAGGCGGATCGGTTCGGGTGGTGGTTAGTTGCAGCTTTCTGACAAAGATACGCAAATTACCGAACCAAACCATATGGCGGGTATTGTGAACGGTGCCCGGAATCCCCTTGTGGTTACGTTGCTTGGATTGGATCAGGATATTCAGGCGCAGTCGGATTCTGAGCGGAATGCGGCTCTTTTGATGATGGATAGCTTCTGGTGAAATGTTGTCGGTATATATTTGGTTGTGGGATTGCGTGCATGACGATTCAATTGCTGGAGATCGGGCTTTGTTGTGTAATGTAGCCGCAGTAAAATGATTGGCGATGATCTCCGAAGGATCATTAGTGGAACTCTATTAAAGTTGTTATATTTTCCCAGATCATTCAAATATTTGCCAGATAGACATGAGCTCCTGTTTCCACCTTGAAAAGTTGGAAGTCATTCTACACCCGTCTGTCGTTTGTGGGCGTCTACAAAATAAGCAGTAAATTTTGCACTTCTCTGCAGTATTTCCAACTGCACACGAAGCAAAAAGTGCACTGTCAACAAGTTCAGTTCCTCCTCTCCTTCCCCTGGCCATGGGCGCTTGTTCAGGCATCATTAATCAAAGCGATGATAAATTCCCGGGTCTCGCAGGGAAAGTGTAGATGCTGCTGCTGCTGGCCGCCGCCAGTGAGTAGGGTAAAAGCAAAAGAGTGTCATGACGTAAGAAAATTCTTATCGAAATCCCTCTTCCGAGAAAGAGATGAGGGGTTTTCACTCCCAACCAACTTCGATGGGGCTAAGGGAAGGCGAGACAGAGTTGCAAAGCTCTTTTCAGACCACCCCGTGGGGGTAAAGCCAACCTCCAGCGGAACTAAGGAGAAAACTTCAACATCGCATCTATCCCCATCCGGGCAATGTGTCACTGCAAATTAATCATTGCTGCAGTAGTGTTGCTCCACTTTCTCCGCTCTGAGCGTATAACCTCCTTGATACATACATCTAAGTACGAACAAACACACACACACAATGGTGGTCGCACATATTTGTCCCCGGTGGGAATTGCTTCCGCTTTCCGCTTCAGATGAACTCCTTGCTCGCTGCGAGGCTATATGGCATGCTTTCTAGAGCTATGACGAAGAAGGTAAGAAAGTGTGGTCTCCCAACAAAGGCGGAATGTCCATTATTCATCATAAAATTAATAATAACCATTGTTGATAATAATGATACTACCATTAGTCAGCATGTTGTGTGCGTGTGTTCTGTTCTGCACTGCACTTTGTGTAATAATCACAAGTGGTTCTGTTGTAGATCAGCAAGCATGCAATAATCTTGTATAGCTGCAGGAAGGGATGACAGATTTCTTGCTATTTGCATGCACTTACTCGAAAACGAACTGCAAGATGCGGAACAAACTTGACACTCGGCTATTGACATTGCTGCAAGCTCGGTGTTTGTTATTTGGAATGGACCAATAATGCGACTTGTCCGGGCTGTTGGTTAGGACCTGGTAGATACTTGAATATTCATCAGACCATTTCTGTGCAGGACGATACGTGTAAAGAACGACTGGTTGACATTGGACTCCGGTCCGAGAAAACATAAGAATAATATGGTTAAAATGTATGTATACATCCATCTTGCATGAGTGGTTGATTTCTTGTCTAAATGTCCTCTACTATCTGTTGAAAAGTCATTTCGAGAGCAATCAGTCATGCGACTTCTTGCACTTTTCATATTTAAACCATATATCAGTGCCAACATTTCAAAGGGGCGTAATTGCTGTTGTAAACAAAGGCTTTAGCCGTCAAATTGTCGCGAAAGAAATCTCACCCCTGCAACATAACAATGCTAAAGCTGGTAGAGGAAACATTCCTCTACCTGTTGGTGTCATTTTTTTCATGGTGAGCTTTTATTCGCGAGAAATCGATGGCTAAAGTCATTGTTTACAAATGCAATTGCGCCCCTTTAAAATGTTGGCACTGATATTATGGACACATTAACTATTTATTTTTTGCGCTTATGCCTTAAAAGGAACCACTCTTGATGATTGAGAATAACAATAAAACTGTTTTAAAACACTGTGGAAACAATCATGCTCTACTACAGGTTCTCATAACCTCTTTAAGAGTAATATTAAATTCATGCAGTTTTATCAACAATTAATAAGAAACTAACGATTTTAAATTGGCTCACTGCTTGACTAGCCTATTGGTCTCAAGCAAGTCGATTAACGTCCCCCATTCTAGTCGAGATTCTAGTACAACACAATGTTTGTTTTGATTCGCTATGAAAGTTTGACAGATAAAATGAGCGGTTAGTGGATTTTCCTATGTTTCGAGGAGTGCATCGATTAGCTTGGAACCGAAGATAGTTCCAGAGCTGAGCCAAAAAGTTGAGCTCGTTTCTTCGGGACCTTCTGGTCTTAAGACCCACGCACATTAGATCCGGATCGGACGCGTTGCGGCAAAGTGACTGCTAAATCTATTGTCTAACTGTCAAATTTACGTCCACGCAACGCAAACGGATCTAATGTGCGTGGCCCTTTAGAGTTGCCTCTATGGTTTTATTACGATCTGCTTAAAATCAGGTATAAATCCAACTTGATTTTTTATTGCTTGACAGCAACTGCCATAAATTAGCTTGTTGAAGTTCTGTTCTACAAAAACTGTAACAGCAGTGAGCTAGACTCTTTTTTATTTGGAAATATTTAGTCATCGTGTTCGATGGCAGAATTCATAAAAGATCTAAAATAGAAAAGTGACTGATGGCAGCTTTTTAAGATATATAAATACTAGAAATTTCTACTCATAGGGAGAGATGGGCGGAGAGAATGGTTTGAGCCAAATGAACTGTCTAAATCGGAGCCAATCGAACATTCCTATTAGAATTTTTACGAGGATTTCTTATTCTCACTAGAATAAATTTGAGAGTATTGAAATCGAACAGAAATTCAATCACCTTTGTTTCGTGTGCTTCTCAAATTCAACTAGTTTTTGGAATCAAAAACAATATTCTAACTCTATTGATTAATTGATCTTCGGTGGTTAATTAATGGCACCAAGAAATGTGCAAAATATTGCGATGCAATCAATTCTTGATAGAGCTGGAATTAGGGCGTAACAGCTTTTGTAAACAATGACTTCTCTAGATGATTTCTCGAAACTCAAGGCACGCCCATGCAATCCAACATAACCAACGGGAAGGCGAAGTCATCCCATACCCGATGGTGACGTTGATTTGAGTGAGCGAGTCTTGGCTTTCTAGAAATCATCGAGAGAAGTCATTGTTTACAAAAGCTGTTACGCCCTAATTCCAGCTCTATCTAGAATTATTATTTTGCACGTAAATCGAATCAAAAATAAAAGTCATGTGAAATGTTAGTTTCTAGCAAGGGTTCAAAATAATTTAGGTACAAATCCCTGCTGCCGAATTGTATTTTGTTTTCTCCGCCTATCGCTCCCTCTGAGTATTTCTAATTAATACGCATTAAATTTTATCGTGCATATTGCGATGAAGGAGCCTTAAAATTTATGCGCCACCAAATTAATGCAGATTTACATAACAAAGTGAATTGAAACAAAATTGAATTCGAGTGGTTAAACTGTCAGCTACCCAACAAACCATTTTAGCTGCAGACCAGCTTATACAGGCCAAAATTAGCTGCATAAGACAAATATTGGATGTATAAGCTTATCTGCAGATAAAATTGTTTGGGTACCTAGCTATAGCTTCAATAAGACAATAAATCCACCTTTTTGAGAAACACAAACTGCTCAATATGTTACTTCACGAGATGAACAAACATAATCGTTTTCCAGTTGTCCACAATCGTAATCAACTTCTAATTTACCACAATATTTCGATTGGCTTTGCCAAATTATTGACATTTAAATGTTTTAGAAAATATGTAAAAGGAAGCTTCTTAAACAAGTTGTGGATTGTATTATGTGTAACTACCTCATAAATTTCCGTACTACCTCCATATTACTATAATCATAATTCGTATACTCACTCGGGTTCGCATTTGATGTAGTTGTCGCTAGGGTCCTTCCCGCAGTGTCCGTTGATCGAACCCTTCGAGTTGTACTCCTCGTAGCAGACGCGATCGGCACCGGTGCCACTGTAGCCCCAGATTCGTTCGCACTGGGTCGCCGTCGTCGGGCAGAGCCCATTGAAACAGTAACCTGAAACGGAAATCGAAAGCAAACTCATATTACACTTCGTATTTCGTAATCATAATAAATACATCATGGACACAATAGCTCGAACTTCTATTTTCAAGATAACACGCTGCATCTGACATCCAACAGACATCGGCACAAGGGTACCTCGAACGGCTCAAAACGAACCAACAGCCGGCAGAGAGGGATGTGAAAACTGACGGAAACAGACACGCAAAAGGTCTCTGGTAAAACGTGACATCTTTCCCACTTTCGCCGTCCGTCCTTTCTCCTAGGTAGGTCCCTAGGAAACGGTTGCCACCAGGTTCCCCGTTGTGACAAACTCGAGCGTCGCCACAGCACCAGTGTCCTAGATAGCGTGTCAGTCAGTCAGTGTGCGGCAAAGTGGTCTAGATGCGGTTGCAATTCATGCTTCTCAACGTTCTTAACGCCGTCATCGTTGTTGGTCGCCGTCGCAGTCATAGTCACCAATTAGCGTGAAACCATTTTCCCCGTGTCATGCCATTCTTGTCACCGTATCCGGATCTGGACAGTTGCCGTCTTGGGTTTCAGTCTTGGTTTTTCTTGTAGGCAGACGAGTAGGATACTGTATTTGAAAGCGTTGCATAGTTCTCCAAATTGTGAGCCCTTTCTTCTTATATTCCCAGTTCACAGAAATCTTAGCATTCATTGATTTTTCAGAAACAAGAAGAAGACACAACCGCAACTGTCATACATTTTTAAACACTGACTCAAAAACATATTAATAAATGAATTGTACACTCCGAACTTTTATAAAATTCAGATCTAGTGTATCTAAATAAATTCTTCTGAGACCCGTTCTGGCACAGATTCGGGCATATTTGACACTTATATGTAATCACAGCCGGATCAATTATATCTGATTCTTAAACCTCATTTTCAGACCTTTCATGTGAGGTCCTGCGGATATAAAACAACTCTGTTGGTACCGAATATCAAGCATTTTACCATGAAATGTATTCCGGAAGTTTGAGAGTAACAAATATCGTTTAAGGACAAAATGAACTGTGTTCCGCTGACCCGCTAGATGGCTCGGTTGACGGCTTCGAACGTGTTGATTATAACGTGATCGCTTAAAAATTTTGTCTTATTTAACTAGAATGCAGGCTAGAATGCAGGATGAATTTTCGGTATATTTTTAGGCATGATTGGGTGGCTGAATTGTCAAGGAGTGCAACACATCTAAATTACAATTTGATTCTGTAAAGAATCGAACCGATTTTTTAGATCAGTGTACATTCATTAAGGACCATTTAGATCACAAACGAAGTGACATACGGAGCGGCTCGAAAACTTTGGTGACGCACCTGCTAATGCATTTTTTCAGTGTACCACATGGCAACACCACTACTACTGGATTGAGCCACATAGCAACACTACTAATCGATTGTACCACATGGCAACACTAAATGTACTAGAATGTTTTGGTTCTATCTCTTTCACTCTACTCTAAATCGAAATGCATAAAAAAAATGACAAAATGATACACTCTTTGCACATTGTCAAAGATCATATTGCACACAAAATCAACTATGTTCAAATCAAAACAAATATACTAGCCCATCTAGTGGCTGATGGCACAAGCTTCTAAGAAAATTCTTTTACAGCGAACCACATTATTTTAATTGATTTCTTCGCCAGTTAGTCGTCTGTCACTTCGTTTGTGATTTAGACTATCTGATTTCTTGGTCTGATTTTGACCGCCGCCATAATGAAAATTAGCTCGATTTTACTTTCGACGCACTTTGTCGAATCCCCCTGTTTACTGGTGTACACACTGCTTGCACATGTTGAAAGAACTGTCAATTTGGATTTCAAAACAAAATTGTATCAGGAATCAATGCTTCCATAATGAATTACCGGAAAATTGCTCTAGCTTCGGCAGGCGCATTTGCTTTTATGATTTTAAATAAAATGAGAAGGAGAAGGCAAACTGGAAATGGCTGCTCAGGAGGAACACCGGCAGGCATCTGCCTCACCTTGTCCGTCAAGAACTGCGATATTAAGATGAAAAAGGATTTCGAAACTTCGCCAGGATGTCGATGCCAACTTTCGACAAACTAGTGATAAAAGTTCTCTATAGATCTACATGATTGCTTGAGTTCTGAAAATTTCTTTTAAGATCTCAATTTTGCATATTTCTCTGAAGACCTTCGGTGGTAAAATATCTTTGAAGATGAACACATTTTCCTGGAGATCTGCAAATATCTTGGTAGTTCTGTAGATTTCTTAGAAGTCCTGTGTGTTCATTAGAAGTTCTGAAAATTTCTCTAAAACTTTACACAGTTCCTGAATCCATACAGATTTAAGACCCTTAAATATCATCAATTATCTCTGTAGATTTTCATGATTCAATGAATATCTGCCAATATCTCTGAACCTACGCAATTTCCTTAAGTATAAAAAAAATTAAATATCTATAAAGATCAGCGAACTTCCCTGAAGTTCTCTATATTTCTCTTAAAATCAAAGAAAATTAATAAAATTTTGCAGATTTGTCAGTTGATCTTCTCTAAATTTCTGTAACTTTCTTTGTAGATTCTTGCACTTCCATAAAGTTCTGCAGATTTATCTGAAATTATTTTAAATTCCTTAAAGCTCCACAAATTATCTGATAATACTTGAATTTCTCTGAAATTGTGTAGGGTAAACGCTCCTATAGTTGCGGTACGTTAGAAGCGTTAGGTTCCTATAGTTGTGTATTGAGTTTCCATGCACAACTATAGGAACCTAACGCTTCTAAGTACGAACTTCCTGGAGGTGTACTGACTTCTCTTAAGATCTACGGACTTCTGTGAAGTTCTTCAGATCTATATATTTCCAACTACCATGGAGTTCTGCAAAATCTTGAACTTTCGTACTTTGCTGAGAGTTGTTTTTGGAATGGAAGTACTTTTTTGAAATTTTTCTGAAGCCGGCGCCGGTGGTGTAGTGGTAAGCGTGACTGGTTTCTTACCCCAATGGGTCTGGGTTCAATCTCAGCCGAAGTCGGTGGGATTTTTCTGAGGCATAAAAATCTCTGGTCACGTCTTCCTTCGGAAGGGAAGTAAATCCGTTGGTCCCGGCCCATGTGTGTTGTGAATGGGTGCGATATCCTACGCAGAGGTGTGGAAGCTGCCTTCCTGCACATTCGGTGGCCGTTAATGGGTGGCAACCGATGTCCGTCGGTGATTGGCACTAGATTGCGGAACAGAGACCGACGTTAAATAAAGGAAAAGAAGAAGAAGCTTTTGTAAACAGTGCATTTGATCGTCGATTTGGCGTAACTGGTAGCTTGCACACGATTACTAACACCACTAGCAGGTAGGGGAAAATTTCCCCTATCTGATGGTAGTATTAGCATGCGTGGGTGAGCTAATATTTACGCCAAATCGACGATTAAATGCATTGTTTATAAAAGCTGATACGTCCATTTGAAAAAGTAGTCGAGATTTCTTATCGTCTTTGTCGTACTTAATGCTAGATTGTTGCTTCTTCTATCGATCTGTGTTTTGCCTTGATTTGTTTTCCGTGCTGAGCACCAATTAACCACTACATCCGAGCAGTTAAAATGACGTTTACAGGGTGTCTACTCAATCCAAGGAATCAAATTCCCTGAGTTTTCCAGGTTTTTCCAGGTCGAATGAAAAAAATTCCAGATGTATACAAATTATAGACATTATTATTTTATCGAACCCCCTCTGTTTGCTGGTGTTCACACTGCTTGCACATGTCGAAAGAACTGTCAATTTAGATTTCAAAACAAAACTGTATCAGAAATCAAAAGTAAATACTTCCATCATGAATTACCGGAAAATTACTCTAGTTGTGGCAGATTTATTTGCTTTTATTATTTTAAATAAAATGAAAAAGAGAAGGTGAACTTTGTGGGGTAGGAAATGGTTGCTCAGGAGGAACACCGGCAGGAATTTGGCTCATCTTGTCCATCAAGAGCTGCGATATGAAGATGAAAATGGATTTCAAAACTTCGCCAGGATGTCGATACCTAGCTAGTGGGAAAAGTTCTCACTAGATATACATGATTCTTTGAGTTCTGAAAATTTCTGTTAACAACTCAATTCTGCAAGGTCTTCAAACCTTCTGACGTCCCTGAAGTTTTGTTTTTCTGTTCTCCGGTAAAATTTCTTTAAAGATCAACAATCTTTCCTGACAATCTGCAAATGTCTCGGTAGTTCTACAGATTTCTTTGAAGTTCTGTGTGTCCTTCAGAAGTTCTGCAAATTTTCCTAAAAATCTACAAAGTTCCTGAATCCCTGAAGATTTAAGATCCTTGAAGATCAAAAATTATCTCTGATGTTCACAAAATTTCTAATAATCTACAAACTTCTCGAAAGTTCTGTAATATTCTCTGCAGATTTTTATGATTCAATGAATATCTGCAAATATTTCTGAACATCTATACAATTTTCTAAAGAATTAAAATATTATCTAGAAATTTTTGAGCTTTTAGGAAGTTTTGGGAAGTATTCTGAAGTTTTTCCTAATTTATGCAAATATCTCTAAAGGTCAGCGAACTTACCTGAAGTTCTGTAAATGTCTAAGAACCGCAGTAAAATTCTGAAAATTTACTTAAACATCTGCTAATTTTTTGAGTAGATTTACGACCTACCCTCTGAACTTTTCTGAAGTTCCTAAAATTTATTTCAAATTCTGTAAAGTATTCTGAAGTACTGTACTTCTGCTCTAAAGATCTACGAAGTGTCCTGAAGTTCAATAAATTTTACAGTAGATCTCGGAACTTTTCTTAAGCTCTTTAAATTTCTTTGTGGATTCTTGATCTAAAGATCGGCGAACTTTCCCGAAGATCTGTGAGTTTTGCTGAAGTTTTGCAAATTTTTCTAAAAACGTACGAACTTTCTGACGTTCTACAGACTTCTCTTAAGATCTACGGACTTCTCTGAAGTTCTTTAGATCTATCTATTTCCGACTTCCATGGAGTTCTGCAAAATATTGTACTTTTGTACTTCGCTGCGAATTGTTTT